GTGGATTTCGGCCTTATACTTGATCACATCCCAATTAGGTGTGACAATATGAGCGCCATTAGTCTATCGAAGAACCCCGTTCTTCACTCCAGGACTAAACACATAGAAATTAGGCACCACTTCATACGAGATCACGTCCAAAAGGGAGATGTCACAATTGAGTTTGTTGAAACGAAACATCAATTGGCCGACATTTTCACGAAACCCCTTAGTAGGGAGAGTTTCTTTCACATTCGGAATGAACTTGGCATTTTGGATATCTCTATGAACTAATTTATTCTTTTTATTGATGGTACTAATTTGAGCGTCGGAGGCGCAATAATTCTTTTTGCAGGGCTTTTATTATAGGTATCTCTTCCCTTGGTATTCAACCTAATTGGACTTGATATTTTTTTTCTCAAACAAATTTTAATCGATTATTCCTCAAAGAAAAATCGATTAGTCGCCTCTGTCTCTCTTAATCGATTAATCGTTTATGTTTAATCGATTAATATGCAAAACGTCTTTAGCGCTGATTCACCTTTTAATCGATTAATTTTGTTCAATTAATCGATTAGGCTCATCTGTTCATATTAATAGATTAACCTTCTATAATTAATCGATTAATATCTTGAAAGAAACGTTGGCTCTGCTTCTTCTAATCGATTAATAAACTTAACTTAATCGATTAGCCTCGGCTGTGTTCCCTAATCGATTAAATACTTGTAATTAATCGATTAATAGTCGATTTTTGCCTTTTATCACACCCAGTCTCGCCCAGCTTTGGCGAATCCAGTCGTCGGCTGAGCTCCTTCACCTTTTCCCTACCCCCCCGGCATGCTCTTGCCACCGAGGGTGGAATTGCGGCAGTCAGCATTGAAGTTTTATGTTTCTATGTATTGACTTCTTATTAGGCGCTCGCGCCATGTATTTGCCCCTTTTCATGATTAATGAGATATGAGCGCATTTTTTAAGTTTTGTCCTCCTGCTTTAAGCGCTTCTTTCGTAGTAAACTTGACCTTCTGCGCTCCACCATCCTCCTCGTGGAGGTGGGGACCAAGCGTGCGTCTTTGACCTTCATCCGAGAAGAGCATCTGGGTATGGTTTGCGTTTGGCCATCCTGCTTGCGGAGGTTGGAACCGAACGCGCATTTTTGACCTTCATCAAGGAAAAACAGCTGGGTATGGTCTGCACTTGGCCTTCCTCCTTGCGGAGGTTGGAATTGACTGCACATCTTTGACCTTCATCTGGGAAGAGCATCCGGGTATGGTTTGTGCTCGACCATCCTCCTCACGAAGGATAAAGCCGGGCGCGCATCTTTGACCTTCATCCGGGAAGAGCATCCGGGTTAGGCCAAAGTGGACTCTTCTTCACAAGAAATTTCATTTTATTGAATTCAACAAAGGGGTCCGTGTACAATAATGTTTACTGATAAAACTTAACGAGGTTTTTGGCATTCCAAGTTCTGGGTACGTCTCCCCCGCTCGGCATCTGCAAATGGAATGTTGAAGGACCCACCACCTCTTTGATTATATAGGGGCCTTCATAGTTCTTAGCGAACTTCCCCCCTTCCAAGGGATGGCTTAATGTACTCTTACGCAGCACTAGGATTGTAAACGAAACGAATCGAATAGAATATTCATGAAAAATATTCGTATTTGTTAAGATGAAGTGATATTCGAATTCGAATTCGATATTGGTTCGAATATTTTTTAAGATCCATATTCAGTTCGTTTAATGTATTGAACATATTCGGTTCGTTTAAAAATTCGGTTCGTTAAAAAATATTCGGTTCATTTAGATTTTGAAATATTTTATAACCATTTAATCTATTCATTAGCTATTTTATATATATATACACACACACACACACACACACACATACATACATACATATATATATACATACATACATACATACATACATATATATATATAATTTGTATAATTAAATTTATATTCCGAATATATTTGTCAAACTCACGAATCAAATATCCTTGATTCATATTCGTATTCGATAAGGATTTGAATATTCATTCAGATTCATATTTGTATTCGGATTTGAAAAAATCGAATACGAATCACCTCATACGAATACGAATCACGAACCGAATTAAAAATATTCGATTCATTTACAACCCTACACAGCACCTAGTCTCCTTCAACAAAGCCGCGCGTGCGAACCCGTCTATCGTGGTAGCTTTTCACCTTCTTTCGATAATTCTCTGCTCGTGTGAAGGCCACTTCCCACCTCTCATGTACGAGATGGAGCTCTGCCGCCAAAGCTTTTTTGTTGCATTCGGGATCGAAGATCTCCTCGTAATGAGTCATGACGGAGGTGGAGATCTCTGCGGGTGCCCTTGCCTCGAAGCCGTAACATAAAGCAAAGGGGATCTCCCCGGTCGCTTTCTGGGGCGTGGTCCAGTAAGTCTATAAGATGTAGGGCAGCTCCTCTGTCCAATCCTCTTTGCAGGCTTCCAACTTCCGCTTCAACCCATGTAGGGTATCCGACCGATGCATAGCTATGTTTGATCCCCTAACTTTTGAGAAAGTCGTTAAAGGGCTTGGACTCGAACTGTGTCCCATTGTCCGTGATCACATGCTTGGGGACACCAAAACGGTAGATGACTTGCTTGGCGAGGAACTTCTGGCACTAAGCTCCTATTATACTTGCCAGCGTCGCCGCCTCCACCAACTTTGTGAAGTAGTTGATAGCCACTATGACGTACCTCACGTCCCCGGTGCCTCTAGGGAGTGCGCCTACGAGGTCCACACCCCACTGCACGAACGGCATAGCCGTGCTAATGGGGGTGTAGTTTGTGAAAGCACTTTTATCTTACAAATTCATACATCTAAATATTACAAACAAGGTACCATGAACCTCGGATTTGTAAAAAACAATAGCTTTAGCTGCAATACACCTCAACAAATAGCTTATTTATATCCTTCATTTGGGCACCAAATGCGCACAAGCGCATTCTAAATTACCTTCTAAGGACTTCAAATCCTCTTAATCGTCCTATGAGATAAATGATTTTCACAAACATGCACGACATAGAATCTGTTTGTGGGGATTTGGAGGATTTGATCACCTCTCTTTCACCAAGTCTGGAATTTCAAAAGAACTACATCCTAGAAACTTCCAAAGTTTGGAATTCCATGAAGCTTGACCAGATTTCCAAATTTTGAAACACCTACTTCTAAAAATCTATGAAATTTAACTATCAAAAATTGAAATTAAAAGAAGATGATGATGATGAATTCGTAAATATGTAGAGATATGAAAAGGCACGATGAAACAACGAAATACCTGGAAATTGAAGGACAAAGACGGATCATAAAGAGAACGAAAACATTAGAGGTGGGCGGTGAAGAAGATCTCATCGTGGGTCAGTGGGTGGCGAGAATGGCGAATAGCATTCAGCGTTCGTGGGGAATGGGAGAGACGGAAAGAGGCTGGGCAATTAGGCAGAGAAACAAACGGAGAACAGTATAGTCGTTAGAAATTAGACGGAAAAAAACCTAGCTTAACACCACCCTTAGGCGCTTATAGTATTATATTATATTAGGGAGATAATAGTAAGGCCCTCCTCTTCTTCTGGGTTAGAAGACTTAACATCCAACTCTTTCCAACTCCTTATAGTTTCTTCCAATTCCTTCCAGTTCATTCTAATTCCTCCTAGTTTCTTCTAACAACGAATTAAAAAAGTATTTATATATGATCAATATACAATAACGTTATATATCCAAACTTATAACATACCACCACAAACACGGACAAAGATGTTTTTTATATCCGAAGTTAGAGTTTTCTTACATATTTATTTGATCTAAAATGAATTTTATAAAGTTTATCTGATCTGAATAAATCGAATCTGATTTGAATGAATGTGATCTAATTTGAATGAATCACATCTGATCAGATTTGAATAGATTTAGTTCAAATTCAAATAAATAGAGTAATAATAATAAAATTTATAATAATAATTAATTATTACTAATAATTATTATTAACAATATAAACAATATAAACTATTATTATTATTACGTGTTATCATTTATGGTGATTATTATCATTATTAATTATAATTATAATTCAAATAATAAATTTTATTAAAGTCTATTATTATTAAAAAATTATTTTTATTATTATATTTAAAAATAAATATTATTATTAATTTTTATTATCATTATTAATTATTATTAGTTAATAATGATTATTTTAATTATTATAATAAATTACTATTACTATTGTTATTGAGTATGATGATAATATATTATTTTTATTATTAATTACTTTTATTAATTATTTTTATTATTAATAATTAATAATCATTATAATATCAATTATTATTATTGTAATTATTATTATTATTATTTGATAATAATAATGATTATTATTATTTAAATTATTAATATTATTTTAAATTACTATTACTGTTATTATTCTATTATGGTTATTATTATTCTTTATTATTATTATTATTATTATTATTTTGAACTGATTTGATCTTAGATGATTTGATCTAAACTGGACTTGTTTGATTTGAATTGATCTGAATAAATATTTTATTATCGGAATAGATCTGATCTGATATGATTGTGATAAAAATAAGAAATAAGTAGAAGAGATAAGTTGAAGAGAACCAGGCCTAACTATGTGAGAAATAGAGAATATAGAATTGAAGAATTAGGTGAGTAGAGAATCTATATCTATATTCTATTTGTTATGAAATTAATGATTGTTCATTTATTCAATTAATCAGGCCTACTTTCTAGAATAGTAGATTAAGACACCCATTGATGAGTATCAATTTTGTACAGTCCTTCCCACTTGTATTTGTATTCATACCAAGTCTCTCCACTATAAATAGAGGCCTAATCCCTTCATTGTAATTAACATTAAGAATAAGAAGAAGAGTGAAGAGTTAATAGAGAGAAGAAATCAGAAATATATTATATCTATTCTCATAATCTCTGAGTAGTTTTTCTCTCATTTTACAACACGTTATCAGCATAAATTTTGCTCAAAATCCCAAAATCCTTGTTCTTCTCAGAAGGTATATTTATTTAATTTTCTTCATAAACAAACTAAAATATTTTCTTAAAAACTATGAAAAATATGCTCTGTGATTGCCCAGAGTTGGGATCCTTCACATCAGAAACTTATAGTTATAAAAATAAAATTAGATAAATTAAAAATATATAAATTTCCTCATAATCCTAGAAAATCATATTTTTGATAAACTAGAATAAAGAATAGAACTTAATATAGAGTAGCTAGAATTGAAAACCAAAATTTAATTTCATCTTTAAACTATTCTTGAATCCTGCAAGCTAAGATCGAAAAACCAAAACTAAATTTATCTTTTAAACTACTATTAAAAGATAAATCGTAAAAGAAAAAAACATCCTATAATTCAATAATTTCTATTATGAACATACCTTGCTTCTACCCTTTTCTTCTCATTTATTCTCGTATCCATAGATATAAAAAATATAAAGGATTGTTTAGGATGAGTGTGTATATAAGACTGGCCAGGATTCCTTTTCCAACTGTACATCCATATACATGTCTATATACATGTAGCTTTGTTTTGTCTTTTTATTACTAAAAGAATCATTTTATTTATTTATTTTTATTGCTCATCATGCCATTTGATTCCTTTTTTTATAGAGTACGAAAGTGTGCATGTGATAATGATTTGTCATGTTTCTTTTGCTCATATTTGATTTTTTTAAAAAGAATCAAATAAAAAAATGATTATTTTTTGTACATTAACATGCATGTATGTAACTTTTAATAAATTAAACTCCGTAATAATAAGAGCTTTACCCATATGTTTTGATTCCACAAATAATTAAATCAATACATGCTGATTATTTTGTTTGATTTCTTTTATTTATTACCGTGCTCTACAATTTAATCTATAATATATATAAAATCTCATAAATTTAAATTTATTACTTTGTAGTTTCAAATGGCCAACATCACCAAGAGAGAATTTGACATTCTTGATTTATTCGGTCAAAGGTACCTGGAATGGAGGGTTGATGCACTTGCTCACCTCAAGGCTAATGGCCTCAAAAATACAATTGCTGAAAACAATACATCATCATCTCAGCAAAAGGCAAAAGCCATAATTTTCCTTCGCCACCATCTTCATGAAAGTTTAAAATCTGAATATTTATTGGTGCAAGATTCGAATGAATTATGGGATAATCTCCAAGAGACATATGGTCATCAACAAAAGGTCTTAATGCCAAGAGCTCAGTATGAATGGATCAATTTAAGATTCCAAGATTTCAAATGGGTTAAGGACCAAAATAGGAGTAAAATATTGATTAAACACCAAAATAGGAGTTGAAAGATAAAATCCCCAAAATAGGAGTTGAAAGATAAGATCTCAAAAATTTGAGTTAATGGCCCTTAGCATACATCATTTTCACAACGTCTGTAATATTTTGTTCAACATATTATCATAATGAACACAATAGTAAATGAGATCTGAGTGATTAGCGTCTACTAAATAGCACCCTATTTTTTAAATACTTTGTATATTTTTATTTTGAATGTTCTTTTTTTAATGTTCAAATTAGACAAAAAGTGAAAGAAAAAACAACAAAAAGTGAAAGAAAAAATAGCATGGTGGGGTGGCTGTGAGGAGAAGGAGCAGAGAGAGATGAGACTAATTAGAGTCACTGGATCCCCATGATAATATTTATTTTTGAAATTTTGCACCACCGACGACATCACCGCTATATATACCATTATCAATAACACTACCATCACAATCTGCACCATTGTCACCACAATGCCACATTAACAGTCAATAAAGTGTTAAAGAAAGACATAATAATGTCAAACATGGCACATGTAATGTCACATATGACAATATATAATATCATAGATGCTCATATATAATGCCACATATGCTCATATATAATGTCATAATGTTACACAATGGCATAATGTCAAACCAAATTCTACTACTTTGGTGTGCCAGTCAAAGATTTGGTAATAGCTATTCACTGCATAGTTGCAGTGATGAGCTTTGACGGTGTTAGGGTTATAACAGACTCCATTTTAGATGATGGTCTTGGAATCACTCACCCCATCAATGCACACACAGTAATTAGCTCCTGCACAAAAGGGCCAAACTGCACATCGTGTTGATTATAACACATATGGCGATGTTGACTTATTGGCGAAAAAGAAAATGAATGGCCTGTGAATATTTCTATTATTTAAATAATAAAAATAGTTAATTACTCCTACTTAGAGGAGTTTAAGTTTGAACTCCTACTTTGAGAATATAACACATGTTTTGCTCCTATTTAGCGGGTTTTCTTATTTCAAATCTGTTTGTGACTATAATTCTGCTATTTTTAAAGTCACGTCCACATTAAAATTATGTGGACATAATATCACTGACCATGACATGTTGGAGAAAACTTTTTCCACCATGCATATGTCAAATGTGATATTACAGCAACAATACAGAGAAAGGGGCTTTAAAAAGTATTCTGAGTTAATCTCAGTATTACTTGTTGCTAGGCAGAATAATGAGTTGTTGATGAAAAATCATAACATGAGGCCTACCGGTTGTACCCCTACAAATTTTGGTCATTTTTATCGTGGTTCAGCACCAGAATCAAATATTATCCAAGGTGGTGCACGTGGACACTTTAAACGTGGCCGCAGAAATAACCACAACAAAGGGCCGAATAGGGGCTATAAATATCCAAATGGATCATCCTCCAAAGAAAAAAGGAAAATTCAAACCACCACAGGCTAAAACTCATGAAAAGCCAAAACCAAGTGGTGAATGCTATAAATGTGGCATAAAAGGACATTGGGCTAATGAATGTCGAACGGAAAAACATTTGGTGAAATTATACCAAGCTTCCACAAAAGGAAAAGGAAAAAATGTGGAGGCTAATTATGCTGATAATATCAACCCAATTTTGCCTAAATTTGACGTGTCCGATTTCTACATGGATGATGCTGAAATTGGTGATGAAGTGGCCTTTGGTGGAACTACTACCGTTTAAATATTTTAATTTACGCTGTTATGGTGTGTTTACTTTTAAAATAAATGTTTAAAATCTGTCCTTTAATTTTCATGTGTACTTGTATTATTATGTCCGTTCTAAAAATTATAATAAAATGTATGATATTTGTGTTAATTATCTTGAACTTATATATTTATTTATATATTTATTTATATTCAAGATATGGAGATAACTGCTTATGGCTCCAGTGGCAAAGAACAATGTCTAATTGATAGTGCCACAACGCACACCGTTTTGAGAAACAAAGAATATTTTTCTCAAATGACATTGATGGAAACTAATGTTAATACAATCTCTGGTGTTGCAAAGCTCATTGAAGGGTCTGGAATGACTTGTTTAATCCTTCCCCAAGGAACAAAATTAACTATCAAAGACGCATTATATTCGAGCAAATCCCGAAAGAATTTATTGAGCTTTAAAGATATGCGTCAAAATGGTTATCACATTGAAACCATGACAGAAAATCAAAAGGAATACTTGTGTCTAACGACAACCAAATCTGGCAATAAAATTCTTTGTGAAAAGATGCCAGCGTATTCCTCGGGGCTATATTATACTCACATTAGTCCCTTTGAAGTGAATGTTATCTCTAATAAAAATATTAGATGATGAGAAAACATTCATTTTGTGGCATGATCGTTTGGGTCATCCTGGGAGTGTAATGATGCACAAAAAAGTACAAAATTCACTTGGACATCCATTGAAAAATATAAGGATTCCAAGATCAATTGATTTTCCATGTGTTGCCTGCTCTCTTGGAAAGATGATTGTCAGGCCATCTCTAAATAAAATTGGAGTTGAATCTCCTGCATTTTTAGAAAGAATTCAAGGAGATATTTGTAGGCCAATTGCCCCAGCATGTGGACCATTTCGTTATTTTATGGTGTTGATCGACGCATCAACACGTTGGTCACATGTTAGTCTTTTATCTACAAGAAATTTTGCATTTGCAAAACTCCTTGCTCAAATCATACGTTTGAGAGCTCAATTTCCGGATTATTCAATTAAGAAAACCCGACTTGATAATGCAGGAGAATTTACATCCCAATCATTTAATGACTATTGAATGTCTATTGGGATTGATGTGGAGCATCCAGTTGCTCATGTGCACACTCAAAATAGTCTTGCTGAGTCTTTAATAAAGTGATTACAATTAATTGCTAGACCATTATTGATGAAATCCAGTTTACCTGCATCTGTTTGGGGATATGCTGTATTGCATGCTGCAAATTTAATTCGGCTAAGGCCAACTGCAAATCATTTTTTCCCCATTACAATTGGTAACTGGAAAAGAACCAAATATTTCTCACATAAAAATATTTGGATGTGCCGTATATGTACCAATTGCTCCACCACATCGTACAAAAATGGGTCCTCAAAGAAGGCTAGGAATTTATGTTGGATTTGATTCTCCCTCAATTATAAAATATCTTTAGCCAATGACTGGTGAAGTATTCACAGCTCGGTTTGCTGACTGTCATTTCGATGAGACAGTATTCTCAGCCTTAGGGGGAGAAAATGAGAAAAAGGACCCATGTACGAAAGAGATTTACATGGAATGCAATAGGATTATCTTTTCTTGATGCAAGAACAAATGCATGCGAACAATAAGTGCAAAAGATAATTCATTTACAAAATGTTGCAAATCAATTGCCTGACGCATTCACGGATTCAAAGAAAGTGACAAAGTCACATATTCCTGCTATGAGTGCTCCTGCCAAAATTGAAATTCCTTCAGAGAAAAATGAAAAAACTCTTGCAAATGAGTCTTTAATACGCAAAAAGCATGGCAGGCCACTTGGTTCAAAAGATGTAAAACCAAGAAAACTTAAAAGGCAAGAGACAATGTTTGAAACAAAAGACGTTCATTCTTCAAAGAAAGAAAATGAACAAACCGAGCATGTTGATATAAAAAAATAATATCAACGAACAATTTGTTTTCAAATGAGGATTTAACAATCTCTGAAGATGCGAATAATTCAGATGAAGATAGAAACGTTGATAATTATGAGATTTCAATAAATTACGTTTCTACGGGATTGTAATGGAATAGAAAAGATGTTCATGTAGATGATATATTCGCATATGCCATTGCCACAAACATCATGGATGAAAATGATGACATTGAGCCAACTTCAGTTGATGAATGTCGACGTAGACATGATTGGCCAAAATGGAACGAAGCAATTCAGGCAGAATTGAAATCACTTGAAAAACGAAGTGTTTTTGGACCTATAGTTCCTATGCCAAAAGGCGTGAACCAGTTGGTTTCAAATGAGTTTTTGTGCGTAAGCGCAATGAGAAAAATGAAATTGTGAGATATAAAGCCCGACTCATTGCCCAAGGTTTTTCTCAAATCCCGGGGATAGATTATGAAGAAACTTATTCCCCAGTAGTTGATGCAACTACGTTGAGATTTTTGATAGGCATGTCTGTCTTTGAAAAACTTCAAATGCGTTTAATGGATGTAGTGACAGCATATTTATATGGATCTCTCGATACGGACATATATATATATATATATATATATATATATATATATATATATATATGAAAGTTCCTGGAGGCCTTAAATTGCCTGAGGTTTATAGTTCCAAACCTCGAGAGATGTTTTCCATAAAATTGGAAAAGTCACTATATGGACTAAAACAATCTGGTAGAATGTGGTATAATCGTCTCAGTGAATATCTTCTTAGAGAAGGATACAAAAATGATCCAATTAGCCCATGTGTTTTCATCCGTAGATCTAAATCAGGCTTTGCCATTATTGCAGTATATGTTGATGATTTAAACATCATTGGAACCTCTGATGAAATAGAAAATACTACAAAATATCTCATGAAAGAATTTGAGATGAAAGATCTTGGAAGAACAAAATTCTGTCTTGGTCTTCAAATTGACCATTTGAAAGACGGAATATTCATCCACCAGTCAAATTACACGAAGAAGGTTCTAAAGTGGTTTTATATGCATAAAACACATCCTCTCACATCCCCGATGGTTGTTCGCTCTCTTAATGTACATGAAGATGATGAAGAAATACTCGGTCCAGAAATACCATACTTGAGTGCGATTTGAGCTTTGATGTATCTAGCAAACAACACTCGACCAGATATTGAATTCTCAGTGAACTTATTATCCAGACACAGCTCGACCCCGACTAGGAGACATTGGAATGGCATTAAACATATTTTGCGATATCTCAATGGTACCATCGACCTTGGTTTATTCTACCGCAAAGATGCCAAGGCCACTCTTGTTGGATATGCTGATGCAGGATATTTGTCTGATCCGCAAAAAGCAAAATCTCAAACAGGATATGTGTTAACTTATGGAGATACCGCAATATCATGGAGATCGATGAAACAAACTTTGGCTGTCACATCATCAAATCACGCGGAGTTGATAGCCCTCTACGAAACAGGTAGAGAATGTGTATGGTTGCGATCAATGATCCAACATATCCAGAGCGAGTACGGTATAGAAACAATTACTAGTCATCCGACTCCTATATATGAAGACAATACTGCATGCATTGCTCAAGTGAAAGGAGGCTACATCAAAGGAGACCGAACAAAGCATATATCACCAAAGTTCTTCTCAACACATGATCTCGAGAGAGATGGAAAGGTTGACATCAAGCAAATCAAGTCCAGTGCGAACCCCGCTGATTTATTTACAAAAGCGTTGCCCCCAAAGAAATTTGAAGAACTTGTGCACAAGATTGGCATGCGTCGCCTCCGTCAAATATGCTAAGATGAGGGGGAGAATTTTATAAACTGTACTCTTTTTCCCTTGATCAGGTTTTTATCCCACTCGGTTTTTCCTGACAAGGTTTTTAATGAGGCAGTACATAAAATTAGAATGGGTTACTAAACTATGCCCATTTACAAAATATCCATCATTAACTGAAAAATGAACATTCAAGGGGAAGTGTTATGAAATTAATGATTGTTCATTTATTCAATTAATCAGGCCTACTTTCTAGAATAGTAGATTAAGACACCCATTGATGAGTATCAATTTTGTACAGTCCTTCCCACTTGTATTGGTATTCATACCAAGCCTCTCTACTATAAATAGAGGCCTAATCTCCGCATTGTAATTACCATTAAGAATAAGAAAAAGAGTGAAGAGTTAATAGAGAGAAGAAATCAGAAATATATTATATCTATTCTCATAATCTCTGAGTAGTTTTTCTCTCATTTTATAA